CAGAGCCGGATTAACGCAAAGGCAAACTAGGCACGTGCCTAGGGCCCGACTGGCGGGATGGGGCCCAGACAAGAGGGATACCTTTTTTTTTTTTTTTTTTTTTTTTTTTTACAAATGTCCTATCTACAATTTATTTCAATATTTATTAATTAACTAAAAATAGTGACGATGTTTATCTTAACCATAGACTGTTACATTACGTCACATTAACGCCAGCCCATCAGGTGCTGCGAAGCAAAAGCCTAAATAGGCACGCAAAGAAGCACAGCTCTAATGCAGGTGTGTGCGTTGTCGTCATCTATTTTGGAGTGATTGCAATGTATTCTAAATATAAACTTGTACTGTAGATCAGCGTCATTTCTGGAAAAACCATTCACCGCTTTATTACGAGTTTAAAAGAGCGTGAGCGTCATTAACGTGCCCAGACGCGACGCTTTGAATTTGCGCGTACAATGAATAACATCGCATCGGGAGCTGACTAAAAACGCTACAAAAGTAAAAGACAAGACGTTTGTATTCAAAGTTAAAAAGCCAACACACTACAACATTTTTAAATGTTTCAAATAAAGGATCTTGGGTCTATCTTCTAAATTCTGCTGATGATTAGATTATACCCTGTCTGACATCAGCCTACTTACGGCAATAATATCAGTTTAGAATTTTTTTTCTAATCAGTAGCGATCGTGTCTTTCTCTTCCACTTCATTTGTGTATAGCATATTTAAGCTAGCAATGCAATGCATAATATCATATTAGGCCTACTTATATTAATAATATGACAATATCTCCATTCTGCAGTCAATATCTATTAAATGGCAGGGGAAAATCCTGCCCATACCAGCTATGAAAAAAATGATAAAAGCATATATCACTGAAGTGGTATTCTGGAACTGTGAATAAATTGAATAAAACAGCAAAATAACAATAACAATAACATCTTCATTAAACAAAAAAGAGATTACCTTAGATGAAGTTTGATTAATATGTACATACAGTAGCCTACTGGTAAAATGTCTGGACCAATTACTATTTTTAATGTTTTTGAAAGAAGTTTTTTATTATGCTCTACAAGCCAGCATTTATTTGATCAAAAATACAAAAAAGAAAAAGAAAAACAGGAATATTCAGCAAGGATGTGTTAAATATATAAAAAGTGATAGTGAAGACTTTTTTTAAACAACTTTTTAATAATAATAAAAAAAAAATCCTGAAAAAAGTATCACAGGTTATAAAATAAATATTAAGCACCATTTCTAACATTTGATAATAAATCAGAATATTATAAAGTTTTCTGAAGGATCACATTACACTAAATTCAGCTTTGCATCACATAAATATATTTTAAAGTAGTAAAATAGCAAAACTATTTAACAATATTTCACTATTATTTATCTGTATTTTCGATCAAATAAATCCAGGCTTGATTAGCATAAGAGACTTCTTTCAAAAACATTAAACATAGTAATGTGTCCAAACTTATGTACTGTGTAAGTAAAAACATTTAAAATTAAATGTTGTATAAATTAAAAGGTTAGGAATCATGTTTGTTTCAAGAGTTTTTTATTGGGGGTGGGGGGCCTCCAACATGAATATTGCCTAGGGCCTCCAAATGTCTAGAACCGGCCCTGCTGATAGCTAATAGCAGATTGTCTGGGGAAATTGTTTCGTGCAAATAATGCACAACAATGTCTATCTGTTTCCATTAAAAATATAAATCAATTAAAAATACTATTTGGCCAGTGGAAAAGATTGAGAAAAACTTTCTCTGAAATGTATTTTACACTTTTTGATTTATTTATTCAAAAACAAGGCAAGGATAGAAGCTAGGCTACTAAAAAAATTTATGAATGTAATAATGTGACGGCACATCCGTATTTCGTACCGTTAAACATGGTATCACGTGGATGAATAATCATATGCAAATGACATGCAGATGAGGATATGCATAGTAAAATAGGCGTTGTAAGCTCCATATATGGTTATTTCGGGGAGGAGACGCGCGTGCGCACAATCTTCCGCTGACTGGGATTTATAAAGTGAATTCTGCGCAGGTTCTGGCGAACGGTTTTATAAATCTGAAAACTTTTGTTCGTACGCAAATTCTGCCTCAAATTTATTACGCAAATTCTTTATGTACGTACGCATACTTTAAGGATGAAATCTACATCCCCTGGGGCCTCATGTATAAACGTTGCATACGCATTTTTCCACGCACATATCGGGGTTTATAAAAAATAAACTTGGCGTAAATAAGTGCGCACCGTAAGGATGCTCTTGACCGTGCGTACGCACTCTTTTAGAAGAGTATGTGTTTTGGCGACACCAACTGGCCCAAATAGCAATAACTATTTAAAATGAAAAACTTCTAAATTATCCTATTACATCACCCAATAAATCAAATTGCATCAACCTGAATTATCATCATCAGCATTCTTAACCAGGTGCAAATACTATTTTTCACCGATGGTGAGCTGGAGCTAAATGTCTTTTTGGTCACTTTCAGACACAAAATCGAAAGAAAATTAAACATATACAGAAAGATAATATAATTTCACTCACCAGCCTGTCACTTGAAGCAAATATCCATCCCGTCTTAAATGTAAATGTCCGCGCCAGCGAGCGCGTTGGGCCGTTTAGTGAAACGGACGCAAATAACAGTTTAAAATAAATAAAACAATTATTTAAACTATGTTTTACTTCTGATATAAACATTTAGATTAAATATGCCATTCAAATTAATGGAGTTAAACATTTAAACATGAAATCATTACTGAGAAGTTACAAATTTTTGTATATTCAATCAATATTTTTGTTGTGGATGCGATGTTTTTGAACACTTTTCCTGTGGCGTGCTGTGCTTTAATGTTTTAACCACAGAGATAATTGCTTATCATGATAATACCAGATTGTCTGAGAAAATAGTTTCGTGCAAATAATGCCCAAGGCCTATCTGTTTCCATTAAAAATATAAATCAATTAAAAATAAAATTTGGCCAGTGGAAAAGATTGAGAAAAACTTTCTCTGAAATGTATTTTACACTATTTGATTTATGTATTAAAAAACAAGGCAAGGATAGGCAACTCCTTGATTTGTATTAATGTAATGTGTCTTGTACCGTTAAACGTTATTACGTGGATGAATAATCATATGCAAATGATATGCAGATGAGGGTCTGCATAGTAAAACTAGGTGTTGTGAGCTCCATATATGGTTATTTCGGGGTGGAGACGCACGTGCGCACAATCTTCCGCTGACTGGAGGGATTCTGCCAGTGTTGGGGAAGCTACTTTGAAACTGTAGTTTGACAAGCTACAAGCTACTCGTTAGTTAAAGTAGTTAAACTACAGTCAAGCTACTCTTTTTGAAAAGTAGTTAGCTACACTACAAGTTACTATCAAAAAGTAGCTAGCTACATTGAAACTACTTTTGCTTTTTTTGAACAACATATATTATAAATAACTGAATAAGTGTCTGAGGAATGTTTTAAGTAAAATATTTAGTGTTTAAAACAATGCAATACAATTATGATTTTTATTGTTTTATTACACACAACACTCAAATATCTCAGACTGTTTGTCAAAAGTGCAAAATTGCAACAAATACAACATTGCAAAATATACATCCAGCGTAAATTGCATGTATAGACTTTTTCTCAAAAATACCGATTGTGAGATGGTTGCATTTTGGCAAGAAAATACATCACAAGCGCTCACATGTGGCACTGACAATGCACGTTAAACTCGCTCACATGCAGTGATGGAGCTCGCAGAATTTACTGTGAAAGAAGAACCTGAATCACAAGCTGCTTGTGAGCACAGTTCGGTTCGCTGCGGATCCAGTCACAACAAATCTACACAGCAATTTAATTAGATCAAAGCATTTGTCGTGCGATAAACAAACTAAGATTACATTTTTTGTTCAACTGACAAACACGATGGCGCAAACTTTAGTTTAGTGGTCTTTTATGTTCAAATCATTACCAAACGCGGACAGATCATCATGGCGGTTCATTCATTGTAATTAAATCAGAAATAGAAATTTGATGTAACATAGAGAGCAATAAAGCAGGATAATTAATACATTTTGGCCATTAATCACCTGTATGTGCGTCCTTAAATTTGTGCTTGAGGTCTTCTGTACGTCAGTGGACCGTTAGCCGCAAGATGCGTGAATAAACAACAGGTGGCGGTAATGGCAAAACAAATTAGTTTGTAATCTAACAAGAAGAAGAATATCCTTGCATCGCGCTGAATCTGATTCGCGCAGGCGCAACAACACGCAATGTAGCTTTTGCTCGCGCTACACCGCTACTTGCTGCAAAAAGTAGTTAGCTACTGGAAAAGCTACACTGTTTAAAAAGCAACTGAGCTACTGCCAAGCTACTGAAAAATGCAGTTAAGTTAGTAGCGTCGCTACTTGTAGTTAACTACTCCCCAACACTGGATTCTGCGCAGGTTCTGGCGTACGCACGGTTTCATAAGTCTGAATATTTTTTTGCGTACGCCATTTTTGGCTTTCGCGTACACTTTTAGTAAGGATTATACGCACAGTTTTATAAATGAGGCCCCGCCGCCCTGTTCAGTAATAAAATCGACTGGGTGATATGAAAAAAAGACTACAAGATCAATTTCAGAATGATTGACCGATTCACAATTTAGATTTTTTTTAAACTAGTTTAACTAGTCAACTTAAAAACGTAACTACAGTATGATTCAAGTAACATTCTTTTTATTAACCATCTGGTAAAAAAAAGGTTATATAGTGCACCACACCTGAAGTGATGTAAATGTAAAACAAATGACTTATTTGTTAAATACCTTTGCATAAAATATGCATGAAAAATATGAAGGCAAATGTTGTACAAACAAATCTTAAACATATTCTATATATACACACTCAGAAATAATAGCTATAAAATAAAAATGCTAAATATTTCTTAGCCAAAAAGTAATAAAAGGCTAAATAACACCATAGGCTAGTTACACTTAATTTATTAGAACACAACAAACCCACAAATCGATCGCTTTTCAGGATTTAAAAGAAGGCCTGGAAGGTGGTTCAGAGATTGCTGCGTGCCATATACTAGGCTACTGTGAACTAAATGTTCCTCCTGTATTCTCATGCAGTTCTGTTGGAGATCTCTTCCGTTAAGCAGGGCTCCTCAGATGGAGCTCCACTGTTTGCATCAGTCACTGTAAAGAATAGAGTGATGTGATCTGTGAATGTGATGCAGTGAGGAGTATATTTATTATTTATCTGTTACCACAAACACACCTCTGATTGGTTGCATCTCCGCAGCCTCTACATTGGTTTGACTTGATTTTGAACATCCAACTGTTTGGGGAAGATATCATTGTTGGACAAAGAATTTAAGTATAAGTAGTCTATATTTTAAATAAATATTTTTGAGATTCTGGTAATCCATACCTTACCTTTACATTTTATAGTATTAGTCACTATTGCTGCGACTGCAGAGACTGCAAGGTAGAGCCCTGCACGGGCCTCAAATCTAGGCCCTAGCCCGGCCCTGGCCCGAGACGCTCAGGCCCTAGCCCGGCCCGTGTCCGACAGCTCATCAGAATGATCAGCCCGAGTCCGACCCGAGCCCGTTAAAAAAAAAAAAAAAAAAAAAAAAAAAATTCACAGCCTGCCCTATGTTGCAGTCAGTAAAACAGATATTTTTTGTTCTCAATGGCAAAGTATTTACCAGTAAGTTTATTTTCATTTCTTTATAAAGTTCATTTAGAAAAATGTTTTTTTTTTTTATGACGACCAAGCAGCCGACAGTGAGTATGTTTGATCCATTTATAGCCTCTCAAATCAACACTTTACTTGGCTACAATACAATCCATATATATAAAACAACTTAAGCATATCACACAGACAGTTAACGTTTGTTTAAACGTTTATTGTCATTTTTGAAAAGCTGAGGCAAACTGCTCTGCTGCTCAGTCGCAACAGCTCTCGCAAACTAAATGAGTTTACAATACAATACAGAGAATGCAATCTAAAAAAAATCAAATAAATTACATTAAAAACAAACATGCAGGTTATCTTACCTCAAAAATCAAGTCTTCACTACAGAACATGGCCATTCTTATTTCCAATAGTTTTCAACAGACTCATGAAAATAAAGTCCAATCAAACAAAAAACAACCTCCTAACATGGCTAAGAACAGTCTCAGAGCATCGTGAAGAAAAAGCACAGCATCCACAGTGGAAGGTTTTAATCCAGTCGTACTTTTTCCAGCTGCGCTGAAGTCACGCTCGCCACCGGGACACTAAACACAGAACGAGCCGGTCGCACGAATCTCAGATCGCGCCGCCGGGAAACCTGTGTGCGTGTGCGTGAGCAGACTGTCATGTGTCAGTCATGTCAGTGTGATAGGTTATAAAACGTCTTTCTATGTTTGCTTTTCAATCGTCATCTTCTCATATTTTATTTTAATTAATGTCTAAAATAGGCTATAAAAAAAGATAAGCCTAAAACAGGCCCGAGGCCCGGCCCGCGTGTGAACTATGACGTGAAAATTGGCCCGAAGCCCGGCCCTAGAAGCGTAAATAAGTCGGGGCCCGTCGGGCTCGGGCTGAAATGCAGGCCTCTACTGCAAGGCCTGTGATGACAGTAGCGGGAATCCACCACTGGGTGGAGTTCTCGGACTGTCTTTTAGCTGCTGAAACAATAAACAACTTGTATAGTCAACGAAATAAAAAGAAGATACGTTCTTAGTTGAATATTTAAATCAAAAACAAGTGCTGATTATTTTGTCTTCAAGAAAGATCAATGAAATTTTAACATCACATCTCAGCTAACTGTTTAGTTAGCTGAAAACAATCATCCAACAAAGGATGTGAGTTCAAGAGAGTAGCTATACCATGGTATTGCGGTAAAATCATTGTTATTTACAGATTCGAGTAGCTCAGTTTGACTTCTTATGCAGTAGCCTATATGTTTTAAATGTATGTTTTATTTTGTAGGATAAATAATTAATTTTAAACTATGATCATACTATCATATTAGTTTATTTTCTTTTATAGAAGGAGGCCTATCAGCATCACAATTAACTAAACGTGTGGTGAATTTTATTACTTCAGAAGTTTGATTTGAACTTCTAAAAAAAATCCATTTCTGTACATTTCGAAAATTTAGGGTTAGGGTCCTATAGTCAAAATGTTTCAAACAAAACATATTTTCATTTGAATTTTGTTTTAATTTAAGTAACTGTTTTTATTTCAAGTGGTTCTTTTATCTTTTATATCACTTTTCATTCTGTTTTGTAATGTCTTTTAACAGATAATTAAGCCACTTCCTTACTGACATCATCATTCAGGAAGTGACATCACAAGCATTTGTAAGTACAAATGGATTTGATTAATTCTGTGATTGTGTGGTGTCAGTTGTTTTGTCTCACTCTAGAAGTAATGTTTGATAAAATTACTGAAATATTAAGGAATACTATCAAAATGTTAAAAGTTAAACAAGGTGAAACTCTAATGTAAACTTGCTCACAGTCGCCCACTGAGCAATGACAAAGTTAATCTTTTTATTTTCATTTCATTTTCAATAATCGAGTTATGATTAACAAAGTGGAGGTGCTCAAGCTTGACCAGTGCATACTTATGAAAGTCAGATATACAGATATCATTTTCTTAAATTGCAACACAACATTTCTTAAGGAACAGAGCTTAAAAGGTGAGGTATAACAAGAGCAAGCCTTTTACAAAAGAGCAACAATTTCGTTATTTGTATGAAATGTGAAATGGTTACAAATTATGAGAGTGTGTTGGATTTCAGAGTAATAAATATGCTGTTATTTGTGAAATTAAGTTATTAAAATGAGAAACATCTCACCAGTCGACAGTATGATGTTGACCCTAGTACGGACCTCATGCTTGGTCCGGAGAGCAGAGAGTATGCAGGTGTAGAGCCCAGCGTGCTCCAGTCTCAGCGGGATGAGTAACTGCAGTGACCCGTCCCCACCCTGACCCCTGGGGGTCACCAGTCGCACCCTCTCCTTCCAGACGCTGGAGCTCAGCTGTGTGAGGCTGTCATAGGTGTAGACGGTTGAGGACTCGTGTCCTTTGGTGAAGGACCATGTCAGTGTGAAGTTCTGCAAGTTCCATGGAGCCGCGCAAGATATGTTAAAGTCCTGACCTTTGATGCTAGATATTTCTGTTTAATTGAAAATTGGTTAAAATTCTAACTTGGTGCTATTTGAAAGGTGGGAGATACACTATCTCTTATTTGCATGTAATTGTTTGGTCGGCGATGGAAATATTTGGTGATGCAATTTCACGTAATAATAATGATGATGAAATGCAGTGCAACGCGTCCAGACATTTATGCATTTACTCTGAGAGATCAAACCTTTCTCCTGCAGTGATGTCCTCCATGTCTGAGACCTGTAGAATGATTGGACGAGGCAGATGTAGGTCAGATCTTCCAGCTTCCTGATCTTGCTCTCCACCGAGTACCGGTCTTGTTTGTCGGCCGTTTTGCGTGTGAAGGGTTGGAGGGCGTCAGGCAGAACGGCTGGCTCTGTGAACAAAGTTACACGGGGAGCTGGGTAGACGTCTCGGGTGGAGCATATGACTTCCTCGAAACCACTGAGACGTGTCGTCTCGAGGCTCACTGAGTGGATAGGGGCTGGAATGACAGAGACATTTGCTGTTGTTTATCATTTTTAAGTCTCGTATGATTGCTGTGGCATAAATTATAACATTTCAATGTTATTTTTTATTTCGGATTACCTTTTTTAAAGTCCCCCTGTGGTGAAAATCAGGCTTTTTAATGTTGTTTATATGTCTATGTGGGGTTTTTAATATGCTTTAAGACAAACCATGTGCAAATTCATAAGTAACACCATTGCTGAGTATTTTCTCCTTAAAACGGTTTAAAATCGCTAGTGTTTCTGACGTCACAAACTACCTTGTAACCAATCACGTCAATGTGTGATCGTCAACGAGTGGATCTCTGAGCTGGTGCCAGTGAGTGGAGGCGGGGCTAATTTGCAATTTTGCATATTCATAGAACCTGAGGCAAGGGTGTAGGGTTACATTCAAGCTATTTTAAGGCATGAAGACATTTTTTTTTCAAGGAAAAAACATTCAAATATGTCAATTTGATGATCAACGATGAGTTTTAAAGGGATCCAATTATTGACTACATGGGGACTTTAAAGCTTTTTTAAAGGCACAGACCACATGTTGTCTATTATATATATATATAATTCCTGAGTGTGAGTCTATGGCAGATTGGATAAAAGTTGTGAAATTGTGAAAGTTGCACTTAGGTTCTGCTTATAGATTTGGATCCTTGTGGTGTACAAATGTAGTTTTAGTACATTTGATTTGAGTATATACTAGTTTTAGCCTGGTTGGCTATTTTGCCTTAATTTTGAATTTTGTTGTTAAATGTTGTATTACTAACACTTTAACGTATCCAGACTAAACTTTTTGTAACTGTCACAATGCTCTGACGTTTTTCTTATTATAATGACAGTGCTGCCTATACTGTCTAAAAGTTATTTAGACAGTTCAATTGTTTTGCTATTGTCACATGTAGATGAACTCGCATAAATCAAAGATAAATAAAGAGTATTTTAATAAGCAAGGAATACACGTAAGAGTATCAGAGTAACAACTACACATTACACATTAACAAACAATACCGGGTAAAGAAACACAGGAAACTCAGGGCTTCAATACACGTAAGAATCAAAAATAAAACTGAACAGGTGTGGATACAAATTAACAAGCAAGGGAACTAACTAGAGAACACAGGAATCAAACGAAAGCAAAATAGATTAAATTTAGTTTTTCCTTTTTTTTTTTTTTTTTTTTTTTTTTTTTTTTTACTGTTTAATTCGGAAGTTTATTTAATGGTTATTGATAGACAAATCAAACAAACTATATATAATACAAAATTAACCTCTTGTGGTTAAAAGTGCCCCCGAGATTGGTGTTAAAAAAAGTAAAAATGTACTTTTGTCCCCTATTCAAGAAAGGCGCCATTATCAAATTGTCACAGTTGAGTGATAATAATTGTATATATAATTTTATTTAAGATAGCTAAACTCTTGAACATAAACTTGTGATAGCCCACCTTCTACCTTGACTATGATGAATTGCTCACTGGTTTTTCGACTGCTGGTGACAAGACACCTGTACTTCCCCCTGTCCTGTGGGCCGCTCTTCTGGATATGAACCGATGCATTACCAGAGGAAATCACTTCAGTGAATAGTGACGTCCTGTTGTTGTAGTGTTGATCAGGCTGATCTAACAGATCGCTTCCCTGTTTATAACTGTGGATCAGGACATTCTGTCTGAACCAGTATATGATCTCATCTCCAACTGCTTCAAAGACACATGGTAGGACACAATCTTCTGAGAACATGCAGGTTACCTGGACATCTAGAGTTGTAGTAGGGGAAAATGACACGTTTTACTCTAATTATTGTAAAAGAAAGTGATTTCTTATAAGGAAGTCAAGATATCAAATACTTCAGTCACTCTGAAAGGTTTAGTTGTAAACCTATTTATACGGATTATATACTTAATTATCATATTCATGGGTCTGTTCTTGTTTCCTGAGTCGATCAGAGTGCATTTTGAGATCTATAAATTCTTGACCTGAAAATATTTAGGTCATAGTTCAAAAACAGGGCTGGAATGCTGGATCTCCAAGTGACCGATAAACATCAGACAATTGATCAGGCCAATGTTTTGGTTGTCAGACAGTTTTCTAGGAAGTGCTTGGTTCGATTTTTACAAAAATTTCTGCTCTTACTCTTTTCTTATGACAACGAGCCATTTAAATGTTGTTTTTACAAAATATGACAAATGGTCACGGATGAAAAATGCTGTGCTAAAAAAAACGCTGTGCTCAATTTTTTTTAGCTCAGCACTTTGATTTTCGTGGTCATATTTTAAAGCATGTAATGACTTCGTGGTGTGTCTGAGACGATGAATTGTTCAATTAAACCAGGGATTCTTATGAAAAATGTTCTAGAGAAGCTGCACTGTTGGCCTACAGAAGTGAGTCTTGTAAGGAGTATTACCTGGAGTTTTCCCAGTTGTATCAGCAATAATCCACACCGATATCAAACAAGTCCAAGACTGTGCTGCTGCCATCGCTTTTTTTTTTAAGGCTTGAACTACAGGGGGAAAAACTAAATGAATGCACTCTTCGTCATCTGTATATAAACAATAAATCATTATTAACCAGATACTGCTTCCTGGCGAAATATCAGAAGGATTGAAACTTTTAATAAATTTAGATCATGTAGCCAAATGTTTAACTCGGAGAACACTAGCATCAGTTCAGAGTTTTTTCAGATATTTGAAGAAGTTTATATAATGATTTTGACGTTACCCTTTTTTTCTATGACATTTTGCATTAAGTTAGAGCTTTATCCTCACATTGTTTTTATTTTGTGTGAAATCTGTCGATCACATTCTTTCTTTTGTACAGAAAGTAGAATCTTCCGGATCATCGATTACTCGTCATGATAACAGCGCATTTGAAGACAGAAATTTGCCATATACTAAGAAATTTAATTTAACAAAACAACTCACACACCTCTGTATAAGGAGCACACAAAGAAGTAAGATACAATTATTCACTTTACACAGACACTTTACTCAATTAAACAAATCTCAAAAGCATATAGTAAATAATAATGAAACTGATTCTCGTTATTAGTTAATTAAAAGTATACTGTTTTAGACCCTCTAAGACTTTAACTGCTTATTATGTGTTGTGGATATGATTCAAAAGGCAGACTCACATGTGTGTGTGTTTTGATTGTGGATGGAAGCCTCTTCTCTGACGGTGAACTAGACTAGACTGACTTGTTTATTTTAGGAACACACACGTTCATATAGTATCAGCATAGGCCTGACACTTTAGGGCTGTTACATGAATGGGTGGAGTTTTAGATTAAGTTTATTTGTATTATTTTGTATTTATAATTTGTATTGGATCAATTTAGGCTTTCAAAATAGGGTTATGCAACATTCATTTTAATTTAGTTATTAATAAGTTAGTAATTAGGTTCATTTTAGTTAGTAAAAACCTGAACCGGTAGTGTACATCTTATGAAACTTTCACAATATTGAATGATTATAACATGATTTCACTTGTTGGGACGCCACTACAGGTAAATAGGGTAAAATTAACAATATTCTTATGAAATATGCAAACACTCATTGCAATATTTGATGTTTTATAAGTTGCCCCTAAAACATGCTAATATAAAAATAGGCATCATATACATTATACATTGGGCTCCGCAAATATTGGCTCAATGGAAAATATGAGTAAAACTGACTGTGAAAATTTGTTTTTTTGCTATTTCTCCTCTCAGTCTTTCATTCAAAATACTCACTTTAATTAAAGTCAAATAAAATAAAAGTCAAATAGTTCAAAAAATGATCATAAAACAAATATTTACTTTCTGAAATATATGTATTTCACAATTATTGGCACAGCTTAATTTAATACTTTGTACAACCTCCCTTTGCCAAGTTAACAGCTCTGGATCATCTCCATGCGTAATAAGGTTGATGAACATATGGCAAGAGATTTGAGACCATTCCTCCATACAGTATCTCTTCAGATCCTTCAGATTCAGAGGTCCAAGCTTGTGGACTCCTTACTTCAGCTCATCTCACAGGATTTTTATGGGGTTTGGGTTAGAGAACAGCTACAGTTCATTGCAAAACCTTCATTCTGTAGTCAGTGAAGTATTCTATTGTTTATTTTCAGATGTACTTCGGATCAATGTCATGCTGCAAGATCCAACCATGGCCCAGTGTAAGCTTCCTGACAGGGTCTGCTGGTATTTGATGGAGTTTATGATACCGTGTACTAATAAGTTGTCCAGTTGTCCAGGGAAATGAGCTCCACGGCATTAAAGATCATACTTCACCGTGGGTGTGAGGTACTTTTCTACAGTACATGTTTCTGTCCATGCCAATCCTTTATTTTGGTCTCATCTGACCATAAAACCCTCTGAAAGTTCCAGTAACACCTGGCAAACTAGGTGCATGAGATTGCTGTCTGATGTCACCAAAGGCTTTTTTCATTCTAACCTTCCCAAACAAGTTGTGGTTTTATAGTTAAGGTCTGATCATAGTTTTGGAGACTTTTTGACCCCAAAACCCAACTAGCATCTGCAATTCTCCAACTTTGATACTTACAGTTCTTTTGGCGACTCAATCCATCCTCCTCAGTGCGTGTGGGGCCAATATCTTCAGACCATCTGCGGTTGATTTAAGCTTCTTAATTATTGCCCAGATAGTGGAAATTAGTATTTAACAATTAAACTATTAGCAATTTCATGATTTGTGCAGCTCAACAACCTTTTGTCACACATCACTACACTGTATTTCCTAGTGATAAATGGCTATATATAGGAATTTGGCCTGTGTTTCACTTCATATTCAGAGTCCAGTGAAACAGGAAGTCATGACTTATCACTTAAGTGTTCCTTATCACTAAGGTGAACTTAAAAACATATCGTATGAATGGGAATATACTTCAGTTTGATTTTTACTTATGAGAATTTGTATGGGTGCCAATAATTTTGTCATACCTATTTAGGAGAAAAACATATTTATTTCATTTATTCCACATTTATATTTTGTGTAAATTAACTTTAAAGGTTAGATGTATATGTGAATATTCTGAATGAAAGACTAAAAGTAGAAAAAGCAAATGTTCACAGCCAGGTTTGCTCATATTTATCAAGGGTGCCAATGTTTGTGGAGCCCATAGGGTTGGTAATCTTCCAATATTTGCACAATAAAAAAAAACCTTGATGTATTTTTTAAAATTGTATTGCTGGGTGCTATGAGACTAAAGATCATTTGTCAACACATTCTCTCGTCTTTTTTATTACAGGAAGTGATCTCTCCTTTTTTTCTTCGGTATGTTGCCACGCTCCTCTTGTGATATGGTTAGCTAACCAGTAAAAGTCAATGCAGATACAGTATCTGTGATGATGTCTCTGGTGCTGATCAGGCCGTAATCCGCCAGATTAGGCAATGCACTGGGATTACTGGACACAGGGAGTCCGCGATTGGTTTATGATTTTTTTCTCTTTGTATCTGTCCATCCTATGATCTTGCACTCTCTCCCATCCCCCTCTCTCTATGCTTCTGTAATGTAATTGATTGTGTTAATGTGATTTGATTGGTTAGCCCCTGAGCTTTTTATAATAATAACTAATGATGGAATGTGCTTGAAACTAGAGCATCAGGTGATGCCAGCGCGGAGTTCTACAAAACAGAGCAACACAGATTAAATGTTTTAACCAGGAATACTACCTTCAAAAGTTCATTTGCTGTGATATTTATTCTTAGATGTCTAATCTGACGATTTGAAGATCTATTCTGGATTACATGTTGTTTTCTAAAAAGGTGAACAAGCGAACAAGGACAGGATTACATCAATTTACGTCAATGCAACTTGTCACTCTGATGTTAAGTTCATCTAATTGTCTTTTATTTGTTCGTTGTTTGGTTTCCACCTCTCTGCATAAGTGTATGAAGGGTATGAGTGGACAGGTATGACATGCTTATCTTCAACAGAGACAGAACAAATCTATAACGCCTGGCATGAGGAAATCCCGATTAGAGATGGTCCCAGCCCACTGTGTAGGTTAAGGGGAGATCCACCAGCTACAGATAAGAGGATTTGAGAGGAATTAATGCCTGTCTTTTATTACCGTAAGAATACATTCCCATTGATTTATGTTTGGGTGACAAAGCACCACCGAGTCGACGACAGCGGGACTAACTAGACACATTCAATCAGGTGAAGTATGCGGTGATGGATGCTGAATAGATGCTGTAAGACGATCCAACAAACTAGTTTCAGATTTACAATTCTTCTGGGAGACGTGTGAACATCGGGAGAGATCATCAGGACTACCGTACCGTTTCCCAGCGCCCTCTCAGTTGAGGTTTGCTGGGGATGGCCAGGACTCAGGAACCATCCTGCCTTGGATTTTGGACCCTAGCTACAGGACCAAGAGTCCCAGAAGAAGAAGAAGAACAGGTCTTCCGTCATCATATTTGGCCATGAAGTTATTCCTGCTGACCCTCAGGCTGTTGTGCCTTGCTTGTCTCTGGCCCGTCACCCTGCTCAACAACCCCTACCCTAACCGGAAGAAAAACAAGGATGTTTACTTGGTTGAGCACGCCAAACACAGATTCAGAGGGTGAGTCGTGAATATTTAAACTCTTTAGCTTGTTTGGGGTCAGTATGTTACACTTAATTTTAAGGTGTCTGTGTTACAGTGTAATTACACATTTAAGTATGGAGTAATAATTATGTACTTATTATATAGGGTTAGGATTAGGGTGTTAAGGTTAGTTGCATGTAATTATCCACAATTTAAAATAATTACTATAGTATCTACATGTAACGTGGAAGAAGGACACTAAAATAAAGTGTTTTATTTTATATATAGTATAAATTATGACTTTGTTCAGCAAGGATGCATTAAAGTGATCAAAAGTGACAGTAAAGACACTACTATTTCTACTAAAAATGCTATTTCAAATCAATCCTGTTCTTTTCAAACATTCTGTTCCTCAAAGGCTTCTAAAAAATAGTATCATGGTTTCCACAAAAATATTAAGCAACCCTGTAGCATACTGTAAAGTTGAGCGAGTGGATCTCTGAGCTGGTGTGAGTGAGTGGAGGCGGGGATAATTTGCATATTCATGGTTTCACATATTAAATGAAGCCAGGGTGTATTACACTCAAGCTATTTGAAGGCATGAATAAAAATGTTTTACACAGGAAAAACGGTTAAATATGTCATTTTGGTCATTTTTCAGATACAATTATTGACAGGGGGACTAAAAGTAAAAAAAATAATGTTTTATTCGTTTTTCAAAAATATGTCTATATTGTTTTTATTCATGTGCATTTATTTGTTTTAGTTGATTTATTTTGATTTATTTTAGTATTTTAATTTACAGCCATGGCATTTATCTGAAATAAAATACGTTTCAGTTAAAGGTGCTCTACGTAACTTTTAGCGGCCTCTAGTGGTGATGTTTCAGATTGCAACCAAATTTTACAAGAGCGCTCGTGCTCGAACTCATAGACAATACCGTCTATTACGCAAATATCTCGGCGAATACTTGACGGATTCGGCGAGCACCGAGCTCGTTGGGACCATCTAGTCGAGCTGAAAAGAACCGTATAAGTTCCATAGTTTTTGGTGGTGTTTTCGCGGAGATATTAGCAGAAAACCATCGGGCGCGCTGCAAAATTGCGGACGCCGGTGACGTCACGATCTCAGAAGAAAATCGCTCGTATCTCTGGAACGCAAAGACCCAGAGAGCTCAAATTCGGGGGAGGAGGTCCCAGGGGAACCCTTGCCCGAACGCTAGAGTGGCGGGCCTCGGGGATGCCCCCTACCGGATCGCCGTTCGCTGGGACCCCCGATTTCGAACGGCTATAACTCGGGGAGCCGGGCGAGTTGGACCTCGGGGGTGGGCTCGTTCGAAAGGCCCCGTCCAGCACTACGAACGATTAGAGTCTTGGGAATATTGACCGTCTACAATAGACTGTATATAAGGAGAGAGGCTCGGGAGCGCGCATGCACGTCACATCCGTTGGATTTCGCGGTAAATCCGACCCGGAGACTTCACATAGAAATAGGAATACTGGCCTTCAGAGGTAATAGCAAAACTCGACAAGTGGATGATTTTAATGTGTGATTACAACCCCTTCACACACAGGCAATAAAAAAAGGATTCATTTTAGTAGAAAAGTTACATAGAGCACCTTTAATGTTTATTTAGTTTGTAAGTAAGGAAAATGTTAAAAAAAAAAATATTTTAGTTTTGGTTAACAATAATAACCCTGATTTGAGACAATAGCAGAGTGCATAAAAAAGGGTAGAAAAGAGTTGTAAAGGAACAAATGCTGCTAGTTCCATGGATCATTGAATTTCCTCTGTACTATGTGTCTAAATGAGAAATAAAGTGAGGTTTTAATCTATTGTTGGTGGTTTCTATGTTACCACAGCGTAATGAGTCACACAACCTCAAGAGTGCCAGTATTCTTTCATTCTGTAATTAAAACCATCCTGGTGCCATCATCTGTTTTTTTGGAGAGCAGCCAAAGTTCTGTTTGGCATTAAAATCACGCCTGCAGATTCTCCAAAAAAAAAGCCTGTGTTTTTACAGTGTCAGCCAGGTTTTCCAGGTACAGCTTTTGTTAATGCATAATGTGTCATTGCATTGAATATTTATAAAAGCCATTAGAAATAGATTAATAAGAGGTTAATAGGATACATTTTCTAGGGCATTTCACTCTTAGTGCAGTGCTCCATCCAAGAGAGTTTTTAGTTTTTAAAATTTATAGGTGATTTTTAAAAAAATTATATTATATAACTATGTTTTATATTATTGTCATTTTAATCACAGCGGTGTACAGCAATCTCGCAGCATGCATTGTGTCATTAGTGCTGTGTTTTTGTTAGGATGATTGTGTAATGAGTCTATCACGTATTCATTAGTGGTTGTATGCTGTATTCAGTTTGAGGTTTAATTTTGTAATTGCTCTTCGGTGTGCAATTAACTTTGCCATGGAATGAGCACAGCGTGATTGACAGTATTTGGGGTTTCAATTACAGCACTCAGATGAAGATGAAGTCTATGTTAGGGGAAACATTGTACGTGTATGACTGACCTTCACTGGTTTCTGCCGTGTTTTTGTTCATGTCTCATCTCTTAAGGCTCAGAAAATAGCTTGTTTGGAAGGCGTCTGGAAGCGCTCCAAATCACAGTTCATTTTCACAACCTGGCACACACAACCGCCATTGTAAAACAAGCTGCTTTTTATAAATCATCCCTTTAATGGCTGAGTAATTCTCTTCAAATGACAGATGCTGGAGCACTGAGGCAGATGTTTGATGGTCACGTTCTGGCTGGAAATAAAACATCCAACTGTTTTATTTCTCTGTAATGCAAAGGCCCACCTGCTCACAGGGCCCGGGATAATATTCCTGTTATTTAGAAAAACTACAGAAGTGCAATAATGGCCTGTTTTTCTTCTGACCCTTTTTCTCATTCTTTCAGACGGATTGACTACAAATTAAAGCGAAAGGACAGCACCAAGTCCCTCCTCATCAAAACTGAACAGCTGCTAAGGATCGAAGACCAAGACTTTGCCATGAGACCTGGATTTGGAGGTCAGGATGAACTGTTTATTTGCTCCAATTATCAATCACCATCACAATCCTGAAAATCACAATTAGAGTGTTCTTTTTATTAAATCTGATTAAAAATGGGCTGTGCCATTTTGTCGTGTCAGAGGGCAGAATGAGGCGGTGTAACCATCTCTCTATTCGGGGGAAAGCGGCCAGAGGTGACTTTGACAGGGCGAGTGTGGTCCTAAATTCAAACATGACCCAGATTGTGCAAAACACAAATTAGACAATGGGTGTTGAGGACACAGATGTGCTTTGGTGGACAGTAATCTGGATTACATCCCAGGCCTGTTAAAACAGATGGAAAAGTGCTAATGTTATCATTTTTACACATAATTGAATACAATGCAATATATGAAATATTATAGCAGATGGCTGCGATGGAACAAACTAATACTTCAATGCAATTTCTATTGAAGTTTACATTTCATGTATTTAAATATTTTCATTAAATAATATTGAAAAATACATTATGGTTAAAATATTTTACAATCAAATATTTTACATGTGCTTAAGTATATGTTAGTCAACAGATCTAAAGCATGACAAAAGATGATTAAAACACAGTGATTTAAAATGTACCTTAAAGTAACACTTTTTAATCTGACATTATTACAAAGAGCACTTTTTAAAAGTGTGTTAAGAAACAGCCATGAAAGTGTTCTCTCTTTATGCACAATTCAGTACAATTAAGCACACTACTTTTTCACAAGGGCCAATCGGGTCTCATCCAAGCCTTAAAAAACATATTAAACTATTCTTATAAATGCATACATGTACATAAACTAATAGATTAACTAATACACATGACTAACGGCTCACTGTGTGTGGTGGAAATTTACATGTAAGCATAAATAATTGTATTGCTTCCTTTCAACCAGCAGGGTGACGCTCTAATCTGCCAGTGCTTTAAAAGAGGAAGAGATGTTTAGATAAAAGAGTAGTTTATTGGTGTCTAGGCTTTCTTTTACATGATTAAAGAAGATCAAGAGGTGGAACCAGGCTTTGAATGGTGTCCTTCAGTCAGTAACCACTGCTAATTAATGATGGGACAAATAGGATTAGTAACATTTTGAGCTCCATATGCTCTCTCTGTAGGAGCAAAGGAGGCAGATTCTCTCTAAGTTGATATCAAAGGCATTGCTGTTTTCCTGAACCAATATGCAAATGTATTGTGTCTTCTGCTCTGCAGGATCTGCCATCCCTGTGGGCATTGATGTGCAGGTGGAGAGTATAGACAGCATCTCTGAAGTAAACATGGTAAAAGTGCATATTCTCTTTGTATTTAATAGAGCAATGTTCTGGATCCTTAATGGTTCCTTTAACGAATCTTTTAGTATATATATTAAATAAATATTTGGAACAAAGACATTATGACATAATTTAAAAAATAAATACATATAAAACAGTTCTTGAAAGTGTTTGCACAGACTTTAGTCTTCCTAGAGGCAGCATAAAAACTGCATGACTACACAAAACTAAAAATGCATCTTTAACAACACTGTCATATGAACATCCAAACGTGATTTGCATGTGCATTGAACCTGCATGTGTTTGATTCACTAGAATGGACCCGCTTATAAGAGTAATTCATTCGGGAATCGAACTACAAGTTGGGCTGCATGCTTTTGATTCACTAAAAAGAAAACTCGTATGAGTCAATCCATTAATCGTGCTGAACATCATTTGTTTCCGATATTGCTTTTACAAATGGATCTGAATACTAATTCTCAGTTTCTAATCAAATGTATTCTTTGCAAACTTGTTCCATATTTAAAAAATGTATACATTTTGCCCTGTAGAAAGCAGGCCTTCAGCTTCTCACAAAGTAAATCTCAGCAATATGGGTCTTCTTGGTAAATGTCAAAAACTTTTATTTGCACCAAAATGCCAGTCACTACCCTGCACTGTTGCTCGTAATAAGTTGTCATGTTTGTCTATAAGGTCAGTAAAATGTAAAGGTCTCTCTCAGGACTTCACGATGACCCTGTACCTGAGGCATTATTGGAAGGATGAACGCTTGGCTTTTCCCTCCAGTAACAATCTGAGCCGCACATTCGATGGTCGGCTGGTGAAGAAGATCTGGAAGCCTGATGTCTTTTTCGTCCATTCCAAGCGCTCCTTCATCCATGATACCACCATGGAGAACATAATGCTGAGGGTTTACCCAGACGGCAACATCCTTTACAGCGTCAGGTAGAAGCCTATAACCTCTGCTGATTCATTTCCTTCATATGTAAATGTTTTATTAATGGAATATTCTCTTTGTTGTAGGATCACAGTTACTTCTCTGTGCTCAATGGACTTCAGTAGATTCCCGTTGGACACTCAGAATTGTTCCCTGGAACTGGAGAGCTGTGCGTGTCCACCTAGAAACATCCTCAGTTCTTGTGTCATTTTTCTTGAGTCCCACCTTCATTGTTTTTTAGTTGATATTTTACTGGTTGGGAAAATGTGACAGTCGTGGATCATTTCATTAAAGGAATGTGAAGCATTTCTGCCACCATTTAGACACCATTTTAAATATTGTAGTTACAGAAAAAGTGCTTGCATTTAAAGTACGTGGAGTAATGCAATGAATGTTAAAATATGCACTGTTGCGAACGTATACCAAGAGGTCTAAACATTATATATTGGCATGAGACTAGTGTGGCAAAACTCCCATCAAAGGACAAGACCTGACCAAGAAGAATGAAAACACAAGGACTTAAATACACACAGGGTAATTGACTAACAACACAATCAGGGAATGAGAGAAACACAGGAAACAGGAACTGAACCAAATACAAACCAAAAGTTTAGAAAACAAGAGCACAGACACAGAATACATTACAGCTAGTAATACATCTAAATAGCTATTTAGCTATTGGTTAACTTTATCCAGCCTGCTTTTAAACCTGTGGATGACAAGGAGTCGTTTAATTTCATTTTAAGTGCCTTGCTACAACTGCTAGTTTTAACTTTTGTCTGTAGAAACCAGCTTTACTCCACAAATGCTGTTGCTATAGATGTTAATATTTGAATCTAGAAAATTTCTCTTCATATTATCCATGTATTTAAGCATGAATTAATCAGGCGCACACTTTCTTTTAGGCCTACCTCTATTCTTTATCTTACGGCTTCCGCTCTTCTGTCCCATTCAGATGCATATAATGAGAACGACCTCATGTTGTACTGGAAAAATGGCAATGACTCTCTAAGGACAGATGAAATTGCCCTCTCTCAGTTCTTCATTGAAGAGTTCCACCCTTCACACGGTCTGGCCTTGTACAGCAGCACAGGTAAGAGGCTCTTTTCTTCTCTCTCTCTCCTTCTATGTATTCATGCTACGACAAATCTTGTCTTTGTTCTTGCTACTTTAGTAATATATCAGTAGGTCATTAATTACAGGCTTTACACATGTTTCTGTCAGGCTGGTACAACAGGCTCTACATCAACTTCATCCTCAGAAGACACATATTCTTCTTCATGCTGCAAACGTATTTTCCCACAATGCTGATGGTGGTGCTGTCCTGGGTGTCTTTTTGGATCGACAGGCGGGCGGTACCGGCCCGTGTTTCACTTGGTGCGTAACACCTGTCAACACACTTGCACTTGGCTAAATGTTTATCTCATAAATGATCTCTCGTCTTGTAGGTAATTCAATCTTGTAGTGTCTGCATGACATTGAGCCTTAGACTGCGGTCCAGTGTGATGAACGTTTTAGTTGCTAGGTTGTCTCATAGTTGCTTAACTAAGTCGTAACGTTTTTCCTAAGATGAAAAGAAACAAGGCTGCACGGTGTGATTTAGCCAAGCAGGACTTGGTCCTTTATCAAAATCACCTCAAACAATCATAGGCCAATTTGTCAGACATTTTGTTAATTTCTTGGTTTATTATGGTTACAGCATAGGTTTACTGATAATACATTTGTGGCTTCTAAAAATACGAAGGGGCCCGGTTTGATTACAAAATGCAGTTTTCTGTCTTATTTATAACCATACTATGTGTGAATGCAACTGTTTATCACTCAAACAGCCTATAGCCTGTTTTTGTGGCGTCAAAGTGGGTAGCTCCACCCACCAAATCTCATTGGTCCAAAATCCTGATAAACTTGTAAATACACCTGATAAACACACCTGATTGGGTGTGATTGTTTGGCGGTAATTATAATTATTATTTTTTTAACTTGTCGCTGGTAATGTAACTCTAGACTAGTCCTAAAATCTTACTGGTTGGGAGGAATCAACAAAGATGTTCAAGAAAACACTGCATTTTGTAACAGAAAATAAGTCTAAAAGTGCTGCCACATTAGCAAAATTATGTGGGCAAAAAAGGTCCATTGTCTATTGTCAATAGTGTAGCATTGAACCCCGTTGCAAAATATGCCTGGGGAAATCTTTCACCGTCACGTAAAATTCGAAAATTCAGCTGAACAATGAACTGTAACCGTACCTTAACACTGCATCAGAGTACAGTACACTCTTTTTTCTTTTTTTTTTTGCAAAATGTGTGTCTCTGCATGTGTGTTCAATCCAGGAATCACTACAGTGTTGACTATGTCCACCATAATTACGGGAGTGTCAGCGTCCATGCCTCAGGTATCATATGTGAAAGCGGTGGACATCTATTTGTGGACCAGCTTCCTGTTTGTGTTTCTGTCCGTCATCGAGTACGCAGCTGTCAACTACTTCACCACAAAGGAGGAAATGAAGAAACTCAAACAATTAAAGGTCAAAGTTTCCTTAAAGATCCTGACATTCTCAGTTCATTGACTTTGGGCTTGATAAAAATAGATATTTTCAGTTTTATGATGCATTTCCACTACATATATCAAGAGAAGATAGCTCATTAAATGACTAAATTCTGAGGTAGGCTATGAAGGATCCATCTGTTGTGTCATTTGCTGCTTCCCAATTCACATACTATCCGTCCTAAATAGTATTCGAAATTAGAATTGTGTCCCAAATCGTAGTATGTTGAAATGAGTATTCCAAAGAAACCCGGATGATCTACTTTTCCAGTTATAATCTGAAGTGCAGCACTCTAATGGCTAATATTGTCCACAACTCATTGCGCATTGGACAAGGATTTGATGAGAACTACAAACACAAATAAAACGTGTTAAAAAACCTAAAAACATGGCGGATGTGCGAGACCAACGGTTAAGTAGACTGGTTTTGATAAAGGGATTTGAGCGATTAGTATTTAGTATCTAACCTGATGAAAAGATATTTATTCAGTGTTATCCCCATTATATTTCATCATCTGCAACATCATTGCGAACTTTTATAAAGATACGTTTGGTCATTAACTTTTAAATGCATCATGCAAACACATATGAGGAGAGTTCTCCGCATAAAAGACCTACGACTGGCAGATCAACGAGTTATGTACATTTCTCTCCGATATGGTAGGAAATTAAATTGAATGTGGAGGATTTTAATGGTGACAAGATGATTGACAGGGCAGTTTAAATGGTGACAAGATGCACATAAACAAGCGACAGAGCTGTCCGTTAAAGACGCAATTATGACGAAGTAGTAGTGTGTCTCAAAGCTTTGCACACTCAAAAGTAGGCCTATGTACTTTTTTTTTTTTTTTTTTACAAAAATAGTACATCATTTTAGGGCATAATATGTAGGCGAATTGGGATGCAGCAGTTCATTGCCCGGGAAACGAAGGACCCATTTCAAAGCTGCATTTGAAGGAGCCTTTGACTTGGGACAGCCTTCGTTGCGCCGCAAATCGGACGCAGCTGCAGTTTTCAAATAAGCCTGAAAGACTTGACTAATTGGATCAGGTGCGTTTAATTAGGGTGATAGCTAAAGTCTGCATGGCTATGGCCCTCCAGGAAGTTTTGAACCCCTTCCTCAAAGGGATAGTTCAGCTATAAATGGACATATGACAGCATAAAAAATGATTAAAGAATCTTATGTATTTTATCTACATTGTCAAGTCCCGAATGGAAAAAAAGAAGAAAGTCCATATAATGCATGTGTTATATTTTAAAACTCAAGTCATGCAACACATTTGCTGCTCTCAAATCATGGCGCTTGTGGACCACAATAACATCAAACATCATTGGTCTTTGATTATCAAACATTATGTCAAACCTGCCATTTTTTTAGAGCAAGAGAATTTCATTTTTTGGTGCACAATCTCTTAAACTTCCATAATATATGAAATCTATTGTACTTTAAAAGATCTTACCACGTACATTCCAGAAAAAGTTAATTGTTTTTGTCTCCTACAGCTCTCAGACTACGATGCATCTCAAGCCATGGCATTCGACGGATGTTTCCATGACCAGGACATAGAGCTCAGCTCATTTCCTCGGCTGTCTGACCTAAACATGGACACGTGCGTGTCCTCACGGAACTCCACAACACCTGACCTCCCTCAAATCCTGGGCACGCGCCTCCGTCGACGGCGTTCCATCCGCCAAAGCGTCCACCATATCATGAACAACAGTTACAAGATAGACTCCTATTCGAGAATATTATTTCCTTTAGCATACTTTCTCTTCAATATCATCTACTGGAGCATATACTCCTGAGCGAGAGAAAACTGGCCTGCTCAGAGTTTACAAGACTGTCATACACTTGATGTGTGATCATATGCCACAATGATAGAATTCACATACTCAAAAACTGTATCATAGGGCGAAAAAAATATAATAAATTATTTATTATGTTAGAATGTCAGATTCCTAACTCTTCCTAAAATGTGCAAAAGCGAAATTAACATAAATTCATAACACTACATACAGTAATTGTTACAAAACAATTATCAAAACATAATACATGTAAATCACAGTAGCCTACTATACTTTGGCTAAACAGAACCCCTTCTGCTACTCAAAGACAATTTCAGACAACAGAAAATTTGATTACATCTAACATTTTCAGATACATCCATTTTTATAATTCCTTCTTATGTGAGGATTACAACACTGAGAATGACTATAAAATGTGGAGAGAAAAAAATAAACAGGTATATGAACAACTGGACCCACATTGAAATTTTCAGTCTTTCTTCAACGCATCTAACAGATTGATATGGATTTTAAGACTGAATTTCAGGAAAAAAACTAGCATTTTTTTAAGTACCATTTATTATGCACTGGCATAATCTGAGCTCAAATGATTATTATTATTTTGCAGAAGAGTTGTCTCTGAAAATATATAGGACTTTAAAACCCTTGACGCTGTAAAAGTGGGGCGTAATATAACGTTTCCGCACTTGGATATATTTTTATCTTTACTGCATGTAACATTCATTCAGAGAAACTGATGACAGAAGACTTTTTTTTTTTTTTGCAGAGTCACTAGATCCTCATTTTGGTATTACATGTTTCAGGCCTGCTGGAAACAACTGTCAGACATGGAACCTATTTTCCAATTTGGGTTTATAATCCCCTTCCAAAAACTACACAGATCTGAGTTGTGAACTGAGTTGACTGTTGATCTCATTGAGGACCACATCATCATTCGCTTCCCCTGACATGATCTGACTGTCGTCGACTGGTGAGCCTGTAACATAAAGTTAAAGAGTTAAAAATATTCTTGACTTGTATAAAACACATTTGTGCATTTCTTGCCAGTTTTTTTGCAGTAGTGAGCAGAACTGACCGATGCCAAGGGATGGCACAGATTCATTGCTGCTCACTGAGCTTCGCGGTGCACTGTTGGTCCCTGAATTAGATGAAAGTGCCGTCAGAATCGAACCTTTCTTGTTGTTGCTCTGTGTTGCTGTCCGACTCCACTCTGGAGAAAAACGTTTGAGAGGTAAAACGAAGATGCCCGTAAAATAACTAGTTAGTGTAACATGCAGCTAGGTTTTAGTTTGGTTAAAGATATACCTGAATTTTCAGCCAATCGTAACCTGCCACAGCAGAGGTACATTCTCCACTGTTTACGGACATTTTCCTTCAGAGCGCAGTGGAAAACAAAAATAAAAAATCCTGAGAGAGAAAGAGAACAAGAAGCTGTTTTCATCAAGCGCTCAAGGTAGTTGCATTATTGCATTGAAAAAATATACTTCTAACTGTATTATGCTGACTATATTTATAAAACGAATTATATAATATTGTTTCACACCCTGTAGGGAATTTAAGATGCAAAACAGGTACTGGAAGGCCAACTTGACTGGTCCCCAGGCGAAGAAGGCGAAGCCCCATGTGAGCCCCAGCAGGAAAGTGAGTCCCGCGATGCTACGAAGGTCCTGCAGGCCGCTGCGGTACTGATTATTGTGGGGGTTTTGCCGCTTAATTCGTCTCAGATGGACCATCACCACCACAAACATGGCCAGGTTCAACACAAATATGATGCAGAAGTATGCCACAACGGCTACGTAAAATGCTGTGTCATTCTTCAGCCAACAACTGGAAGAGAGAAATATAGAAACATCAAGAGCAAATACATAATGAAGACTGACGCCTTTAAATTATAAGTTGAATACTTACAAATCCTCCGTATTTCCATTGCTAATGAGGCCATAGAAACCTTTGGGTATCGCAATCACAATAATGACAACAACCAAAGGGATTCCTGCAAAAACACGTCACAGAATTAAATCAGCAATCATCTACAGCCACAAACCACAAGGATAATAGCAGCTGAACTCACCCCAGCCTGCCAGAGAAAACTTTAGCATGTATCTGGTCATGTAGTTGTTGAAGACTTTGACGATGGCCAGATACATATGCAGAGCCTCCAGTCCCATCCAGGTGAAGGAGACCAACAGGAAGTAGTGCAGGAAGAATGCTGTAGAAATGCACAGGCCTTTTGCATCTCTATACAAAGCTAACCATGAGTCCAACAAGAATACCAGGTTCAGGAACAGCAGGGCGAAACACAAATGAATCAAGATCTTCGAAGGAATGTCCCGGCGGATTTTGCTGGAATTAAAAGGAAGAATTGGGTAAATAAATGCTTCTTTTGGGAATGAAAGATGGAAGTACATTTTATAAGATGCATCATAGTGGTTTTTGAGGGACCAAATGTGATTAATCTCGTTTTAGGGCTTACAGTATATTCACTGAGAAGGAGGATGTTACTCACTCAAACGCGAGGTACGTGAGCAGAGTAACTGAGATAAAAATGGCGGACACCCCACATCCGATGAAAGTGATATAGGTAAGGATGGTGGCTTGTAGATGGTCTGTTATGCCTTCACGGCTAATGTCCTGTGAAAACAAGATTAATGAAAGCATTATATGACAATCCCAGAGATGTGTAATGCAGACCTAATTCAGGGCTCAACATTATGGATTGTCCAGGTCCAGTGTAAGAGAGTTTTGGGCCAGTTAAAAGTATACTGTATGGCACATAGTTTATTAAAAATAAATTATTTATGCAAATTATTATTATTTGCACATTGTTATTTTAGGAGAAAAAAAACAAGTTAATTTATTAAAATCATGTGACACTGAAGACTGAAGTAATGATGCTAAAAATTCAGCTTTGCATCACAGGAATAAATTACATTTTAAAACAGAAAAGAGTTAAATTATAATGATATTTCACAATATTGCTGTTTTTACTGAATTTTTGATCAAATAAACGCAGCCTTGTTTGAGCATAAGAGACTTTTTTCTAAAACATTTTACCGACCCCAAATGCTTGAACTGTAGCGTATACAGATCTGCATGTATATTCCTGACATTTATGAAAAATGTTTTTAAAATAAGTAAAGATTAGAAAAATTATAAAATGTATTTAAAATAAACTATTTTTCCTTAATGTTTGTGAAAATGTTCATTATGAGAAATGTATTGTTGAAGCCTGTGGTTATAACTCTCGATTTTATTATAATCATATTAATTTGAGCCATTATAAACTTCTGAAGAGGATGGATGTGGACATTTCTGGGAACAATCCCACACACTGACATACTTACCAGCAGCACAGCAAAGCTGGTCAGGTGATCACAGCTACAGATGGTTTCGTTCTCAGTACTGCTGTTCTTGACATAGCAGCCGTTGGGATTCCAGCCTCCTGAACCTCCTAGAACATCCAAAACACATAGGAATTACAAGACATTAGTTAAGAAATTAGACGGATCACACATTTAATTTGGCCTAATAACAATTTCTCTGGAATTTTGGGAGGTGTGCAATCTCACCGTTTTTGTCAAAGTCCCAGAAAACACAGGAAGCTACATAGTTCCCCTGTGGGAGAGAAGTTAAGAGATAGATCATACATTCAGCTGGCAGAGACATATGATGATGTATAGTTTAAATGTGAGCGCACACACACACACACCGAAACGGGTTGCTTATTCCTCAGAGTAAACTCGACACTCTCCCTCAGGTTTTTGATTGACAGGTTAGCCAGACTAGAGCCCAGAATGTGGCTGTTCAGCATCTGTTGAGTCATGTTTTTATCCTGTCGATACATGAAAATCCAAAGAATTAACTGAAGAAGAGTGGCAGAATCAAATCTGACATCAGCTTTATTTCTGAAAATGTTATTTGGTCAAGGTTGGTTGTCATTTATGGTGATTTTGTATCCTTTATGAAGCTTAAATGCATGTTAATTGAATGGAAAAGATATATAAGGGTGAGCAAATTTTCAATCTGAGGGGAACTGCAAAGGTTATGTACAAACATCTTAATCTTGTTCTTGATGTCTGATGGCCCTTTTATTATATGAAAATAAATCAACCCAGTTTTACCTGAAAAAAAGTGCTTTTCTGAAAGAAGGTGAACTGGACTCTTGAGACTATCTTCTTTTGTTCTGGAGAGAGGTTCTCTGTCAGGGATGCAGGTAGTGTTATTTTGCCCATTGAGGAGGAACTTTGCACTGCCCTGACTTGTCTTTGCAATCCTTTTGTGACCTGTATAACCAGACATGTTGAGTCATTGCACTTCCAAAAACATCCAAACTGTTAATAAATTGCTTTGGACTTCAGTTGTCATTACCTGTGGGTTCAAGGGATCTACAATTGAGAATGACGTTGCCCTAAAGTTGGTGCCATCAGCTTTGGTCACAGTCAAAGCGAGTGAATCAAATACAATGTTCTCAGTCTGGTCCCGAATCACAAGTTTTAGAGCCAAATTATCCACAGCTTTGATTAATCTACAAAACACAATATAATATTTACATCCGATATTTCAAGTTTGACAGCGTCAGACTGTTTTGAATGCTTGTGTTACACATGTATCTCACCGATTAGAAGAGCCAGCAAGAGTATCTGTAGAGCTGTTTAGAAAGTTGTTGATGACGGACAGCACTGTTCGGCCCAGATCCAGACTAATATTCGGTGCAGAAAGAAGATTCTCTAGCTGGTTGACCAGCTGATTCACCTGAGTTGAATTTAGAGATGCCACATTCTGTGTTTGATTCAGAAGATCGCTAGCCACTGAGTCTGGGCTATTAGTTGTTGCTTCTGAAAAATTAACAAATCAAATGAGCTGTTGTTACAGTATATATACACAAACTGTGGCCTTAAAACAAATGTGGATACTTTTAGATAGGCTACTTATATCACACTGCCTGCATTTCATTGCATTGGATACAAAATATCAAGTGGTATCTGCAAACTAAAGCTTGCTAAAGCCTAAAGTAAATTCTACTTGCGTCGATATTTCATAATGCAATATGATTGAGACATTTAATGTTAGTCAGTGGGATCCAATGCTGTTTAGACCCCACTGATTTTCATTATATGAACAATAAAAAACACTGAGACACAAGACATATTTTATATTAAAGTATTTTTTGTGTTCCACAGAAGAGAAAAAAATACAGGTTTGGAACAACATGAGGGTAAGTACAAGATGACTAAATTATTCGTTTTGGGGTTAGCTATCCCTTTTATGAGAGACTTAAGTGTCTTTTCGATACCACTGTTGTGTATGCATGAACCTATAAAAAACACTTATATTCGGAATGTCAAGAAGCTATAGTCAGTTTTGGAATGTTGAGTCAAGAAGCATAGTCAAACCTGTAGTGGCTGCCATGGTAATGGAGGGTGTTGTTGGCACAGCTGGAACTGGTCTTGTGGTGACTTCAGTTGTATTAGTTGGAGCTGTTGTTGTGGAAGTGGAGCTGTTCTGAGGAGAGCTTGAAAGTATGGCTGACAGAGCAGTTGTGGGAACTGTACTGCTATTTGTACTAATAAAGGTAGTATTTGTTGTTAAGTT